CATGATATTCACAATAAGCGTTGATGTCATACCGATTCAGATACGGAGGTTGCAACGGTTTCACATAATGAGGAGACGCTTCTCGCGCTTCAAGTAGCTTTTCATACAACTCCTTATATGATATATGGATAGCATCAAAATAAGAGCTGCCTTTCGTCTTGGATTGAATAAGAGTTTCCGACGTAGAGAGCAAATTAAACTTCGATGATTTCAGATTACATGTTTTCTTCTCATTTCTGGGAGCTTTTACAGTTGTTACCATTTCCTGGGTATCTCCAGATAACTTGTGAATACCGATGATGGATGTCTATAATTTCTCAAATTGGTTAGGATCCGAAGTCCATTGTATATATGAGATTGTAGGGTTATGTTCGTTGAGCTCTCTCTCTTTTTGTGCAGGAATCTGTTTTCCTTTGGCCAAAATAGATATTCTATCTATCATCCTGGACATTTACTCTCTTATTTCTTGTATCTCTTTTGTTTTTCAATAGGCATACGATCTTTGGGTACATAGTTCTCCTCTATCCTTGGAGTTCCCTCAGTATGCCATTCTTGGCTTGCGTCATAGTTTACTTGATCATAAAACTTTTTGTCCATTTTTGAAAACTTTCCAATTTGATGTCCACTCTCGTATCAACACATTCTAATCATGTCATGATTATGCAATGCAAACAAAAGAAATCAATATAAACAAGTTAAAGCAAAATAAAATGCATAGAAAAATAAAAAATAAAATGGTTAGTACCAATTATTGAAAAGAAAAGATCCTATCATAGTATATATATATAAATCCTAACCTCATGCTTTCTAGTTTCATGCTTTGTTTGGAAAAATTAACCTAACTGTATGATTACTAGTTTGTATTTATTTATTTAAAAGAAAAAATCAAATAAATTAAAAGACAAAAGCTAGAGCTTATTTTTCCTTTGTGTACACCTACGGACAGAGTTTCAGTATTGTCTTAGATCAGGTGAATTTCTAGGGTTTATTATATGCAGGGTTTCAGTTCTAGAAGTAAAGGTACACAAATTGTCCTTGTTAGTGCCCCTTGGGCTGCCAAACCATTAATCCTATTCCATTACAGACTTTAGCGGATAAAGTTCAATTCGAGGGGATACATTTCCCTATGCCTGACATTGAGAATAAATTCTCACGAATACATAGAGCTTATGAACCCCGAAAGCTACTTGCTAGGTATGACACGAAGACTAAATTCTCACAAAGACGTTGTTTTCACTCCCACTTAAAAGGGAAAAGAGCTCAAGTATAGAGCTTATGTTATGCAATGCAAGTGTTGTGTGTGAGGATAAATTTTCACACAAAAATTAATATCTAAAAATAAATTAAATACAAACATAAATATACAAGGGTATAAAATAAATTAAAAGAAATAAAAATAATCACAAATTAAATAAAATTGGATTCTCAATTTCTAACTATAGAGATAATAAATAATTGACTTAGGTTGACCAGTATCCCAGTGTAGTCGCCAAGCTGTCGTAACCGATTTTCACCCGGGCACGAATTTTCCTTGGCGGAAAAAGTCATGTGAATAAATTAATGGTTTTTATTGGAAATGTTTTGGAGTCACCATCGACCTTTTTGGGTAAGGTAGATCGAATACCTAAAAATTCTCTTTTAAAAGAGTTTTTAAGAAAATATCATTTAAAACATAAACTGGTTTGCATTTAACCAAAAATTTATTCTTTTTAATAATAAAAAGGATTCATGGTCGGTTACGTTTGGGGAAGGATTAGCACCCCACAAAGCCCAAAATTAGCACGCGTTGATTATAAATTGTCTCTAACAGTAGAAGTTTCGAATATAAATTTAATTTATGATCTTATTATTTCAGATTCATTCGGATAATTTTAAGGAAAACCATATAAAATGATTTTTATAAATTATAAATATGGTATTTATTTATTTAAAAATATCAGAAAAGGACATCTAGTTGCTTTAAGACAACCTATTTCTTTAATATTAAAAAATAAATAAATATTAAAATATGATAATTTTTCCTAAAAATAATTTAAATAAAACTAAATTAAATATAGTATTTTATTTATTTAAAAATATGAGAAAAATACATCTAGTTGCTTTAAGACAACCCCTTTCTTAATAATAAAAAAATAAATATTAATAATAATATGATTTTTCTAAAAATAATTTAAATAAAAATGAAGTATATATATATATATATATATATATATATATATTATAAGCATGATATTTATTTATTTTGAAAATACCAGAATAGGACTTCTAGTTATTTTAAGACAACCATTTCTTAATATTTAAAAATAAATAAATATTATTATTTAATTAATTTGTGAAATTAATCAAATAATATTTACAAATCATATATATATATATTAATATAAAATAATTAAAGTACTAATTTAAACATATTGAAAAATAAAGGACAATAATAAAAATAAAATAAAATTGCAAGAAAATGACCAAAATAAAAGGAAATAAAAGCTATAGGATTAAATTGCAAAATATAAAAATTAATGGACATAATTCAAAATATTATGAGAGGTGGGTATTAATAGTGTATTTTAGCCATAATTAATTATTCGGGGTTAAAATATAAACTAATAAAATTAAAAGGGCTAATTATGATATTTACCCTAAAATATTAAAATACAGTAATGACTAAAATAAAAATAAAATAGAATTCGAAGACCAAATCGAAATGCTTAGAAAATAAATTCCAGTGACTAAAATGTAAAAGCTACAAACTAGGAGTACTATAGAAAGGGGTTTCCCATATGGGAAATTACACAAGCACCCCTCCCCCAAAACGACGTTGTTCGGGGAGGGGTATAAATACCCATTTAGGCCGATTTTCTTCATTTCTCCTATTTGGTTCTCTCTCTTAAAGAGAGACATCTCTCCCTTCTCTCTAGCTTCCCTCACCAGAGAGAATTCTGGCAGCCGCCGGTTACCGTGAACGATGGCTAAAATTACAAAATACCTCAAATTAACATTCGGCTTTCCCTCGTCCTAAATCAGCCTTCGTTTCTCCTAAAAACCCTTAGATTTTCCTAGATCTAAGTTTTTTTTTACCTTCGATATTTGGATCTCCGGTGACGTTTGGAATCTCCGAGGGTAAGTTCATTCTCTTTTCTTCTTTGTTTTTCTTTTCGAATGGTTGCTGCTTGCTGTGTGGTCGATTGTTGTCTTATTTCTTGCCCCGTTTTTTTTTGCATGTTCAGTGGATGGCTTTTATAGCCACCACGATGTCCTCTTCGGACTGGTTAAAGGGTGAAAGCTTCGATCAGTCACCAAACTATGGTGGTGACTCACCCTAGAGCACGCAAAGTGGAGGGGCAACTGGCCTTCAGGAGTCTTCGGAGAGGCATCGACGTAGCACTGGAGCGTCGATAGCGGTTGGACGTCGGTAATGGCCGGTTGGAGCATTTGGCAGTAGAGGTGGCGACTGGAGATAGGGTTAGAAACCCTAAATAGGGTTTAGGGCTTCTTAGGCCTGGGTCTATTAGACCGGGTCGAATCCCTTGTAAATTGAGCCTGTAATATAAGTTTTATTTAATAATAATAATATATAATATTAATAATACTATTAATAATAATAATATTTATAATAATAATAATAATAATAAAATAATCAAAATAAAAATAAAAATGAGATAAAAATTTAGTGTCTACAATGTCGTTTTGCATTGTTTCGCATTCTCAAAACTGCATATTGAATGAGATATTTAAGGCCCCAAATAAGCATAATTTCTCATTTTTCTTCCCTTGTTTCGTTTTCTCTTAAACCCCAGAGTAGTGCCCCGCTGATCGATCAACGATGACCACCACTCCTGTCGTCGAACAAGCCCAAGTCACCAAAATCAGACCTTTCCAGCGTCTTGATCATTTATCTCAACTTCAATTTTCCAAAATCTTACTCATCCATCGTAGATTTATAGAAGAATCCTTCAGCCACCATGAACTAAAGCTCTTTGATCTCCTACATGAGTCGTTGGATGGCGCCTCCTTCGAGATATGTTATTCCCATTGTCGAGATGGTGAGTCTTACTATTGGAACATTAATCCGAAATGCCATGACCAAGAGATTTCTCATTTTCCATAATCGTTTCTTTCTTTTCCCTTTTGTTTGCTTATATTTTTCCCTTGATTGTGTGCATTTTTCTCTTTTGAGGTTGTCGTCATTTCTGATTCACTAGTTACTGATGGTACCATTTTAGGCTCAACGTCTTCGAGCAAGACTATTGGTGGAGTAGCATAACCTTGCTACTACTTGGGCAAGGGAGAGGCCAAGGCTGCGCCAGAAAAAGTTAGCCACTGTACTTCAGATTGGGTGAACTAAGACTAAATTAGGCTACTAAACTAGTTTATTGGTTGGAGGCCGTTTAGTTGGACTGGTGATGATTGGGGGTTGTTGGTTGGTTTGTCTTATCGATTGGTTGATTTAGGGTTCTAAACCCTAAACCCTAAATACCCCTAAAAACATGAGGGTTTTAAACCCTACAACTCTAGCTTTTTTGGACTCCAACTCTTTCACGTCGTTGGATATAAGGACGCCCTTTTTATAAAAGAATAATATTTATTGTTTTAAAACCATCCTATTAAATATCTTTAATTCATAAAATTGATTATACACATATATATTCGTGAAAAAATCATCTCGATCTCATAATTCAATATTTTCAAAATAAATATGAGGCGTCTCCTTAATACAATACTTCATAAATACGTATATATATGTTGATAAATCCATATTAGCATTAAATATGTATATAATGATAATTTTTTTGGATAATTCAATTTTCATTACCCAAGAAGCAGAAAACCTGCTACAGTATACAAAGACAATAAACAACACATTGGCGAAGATAAGTACACTACACAAATCCAACTAACCAGGTAGAACAATAAGACATGACCTACTCAAGCAATGCCCCACTTTACACACAGGGAAATGTTAGATGGGTCTGCTCTGTTGAAGGATTTACCTTCCAGTCGATTCAGATGGCCTCCTTAATGTCTTCTAGCACTTCTTCCTTTGATATAGCTATACTCCTAAACAATCTGCTATTTCTTTCCTTCCATATGCTGTAAACGTGACTAGTCCAAGCAAGTTTAAGCATTCTCACGATGAGAGATTTGCCCTTGAGTAGAAGAGAAGCCCAAACCAATTCTTCATCCCAGCTGCTAGCTTCACGAGAGATGCAGCACAGTTCCATAATGGAACCCCACAGTTCCTTAGCAAATCGACATTCAAAGAAGAGGTTATCTTTTGTATTTGCCTCGTTGTCATATAGTAAGCATCTGTCAGATTCAATGGCTAAGCCCATTCGCAAGAGCCTAACCCGAGTAGGCAACCTGTTCAGTATGGTCATCCATATAATAATGTTGTGATTGGGGATACGTCCAGAGAACCAGACCAAATGGTGACAAGCAACCTTGGGGGCAGAGGTGTGTAATTCTTCCCATATATACCTCGTACTGAGATCACGAACCTGGCCCAGGAAGAGGTGAGCAACATCAGGCCTGATTTTCAGCAGATACTTGAAGCTCCAGCTTGCATTCATAGGGGCCTCCATTTGCCAAAAATAAACATTCCTAATAACATAGGAGTGCATCCAAGCCACCCAAAGGGAGCCCTCATTAGCCAAAAGCTTCCTGATAAGCTGAACTATGCAAGATTTGTTCCACCCCCTACATCATGTATCCCCAATCCACCTTCAGATTTCAGCAGGAAAATAGTCTTCCAACTAACTCTAGCATCTTTAGCAGGGGTATCAGTCCCTTTCCAAAAGAAACGGGAACATAATTGCTCAACTTTTCTAAGAATAGCTTGAGGCAATATGAGCTGCCTACACCAGTAATTCGAGATACTGAGCAGGACATAACGAACAAGCTGCAACCTTCCTACGAAACTAAGGTGCTTATTAGCCCATGAACTTAGATTTGTCCTAAGTTTATCGATGAGACTTTGGCAGGTTTTCACAGTCAGCTTCCTGGTAACCAATGGGACTCCCAAATATCTGACTACGAGGCTACCCAATTTGAAACCAGTGATTTCCTTAATGGCGTTGACTTGCTCACCAGGAATACCAGCAACATACATCTCACACGTGCTGGCATTCAACTTCAACCCTGACATGGAGTAGAATTGATCTAGCATAGCCTGCACTCCCATAACAGAATCTATGGAACCCTTGCAGAAAATGAGGAGGTCATCCTCGAAACAAAGGTAGGTTAGACCAATCCTCTTGCATTTAAGGTGATAGCTAAAGACTCGTTTTGCAGCAGCCACATTAAGAAGGTTAGACAAAACATTCATTGCTAGAACAAAAATGTAGGGTGATAGGGGGTCACCCTGCCTCACACCTCTAGCACCTTTAAAGTAACCCACAAAACTGCCATTAAAGACAATTGAGTATCTAGGATTAGCAAAACAGGCCCATGTCAAACCTATGAACTTCTCAGGCAGTCCCATGGCATGCAGAATCACAACAATAAACTCCCAGTTTAAGGAATCAAAGGCCTTCTGTAAGTCTATTTTAAGGGCACATCTAGGGGAGACTTTCCTCCTTGTGTAACCCCTAACAATTTCCTAGGCTATGAGGGTATTGTCCACTATGCTTCTCCCTTTCACAAATGCAGTATATAATGATAAATTGTTTTGAACCTCAGCTCGATATTTAAAATTATTTCTAAAATACTCACTCGATATTCAATATTATTACAAGATACTCAATATAAAATAATTGGGTAATTACATGTTTAGTACATAAATTATTAGTTTTGATCTATTTTAGTACCTAAACTTTCAAATTTTTCAAAATCATACCTAGCGTTTAGTTTTTGTTTTATTTTAGTACCATACTGTTAAAAACTTAACAGACAGGCTTGTCGACTGTCGTCGTCCGTTACATTTGTTGGCTAATGAAACCCAAACTTTCCAGCTCGCATCTTTTCGACCCCCTGAACGTGATTTTAATCTCCATTTCACTGAAGTTGCCCCAATCTCCCCAAATCGATGATGGATTCTTCGATTTCTTCATCCTTCGATCTCTGTCATCAACCGTCTGATGGGCCTGAAAGTGGATTATGTTGGTCGACTAGTCATTCTCGCGTGGTCCACCATTCTGATTGGTCGTCTGTCCATCGAAGCTATGCCCTGTTAGCCCACCCATGAAGTTTTTAACGGCGGGGGTATTAAAATGAAATAAAAACTAAATTTTAGGTATGGTTTTGAAAAAAATTAAAAGTTTAGGTACTAAAACGGACTAAAACTGATAGTTTAAGCACTAAACGTATAATTTACTCAAAAAAACTGTAATATTACTCGATACCTTTTTCAAAAAGCTAGATTTTATGGTAATTTTCAAATAGTACTTTCAAACATCGAAAACCATTTAATATCAACATAAATGATAATTATTTGAAAAATTATACTCGAAATAAAATATTTCATAATTTATCTATAATCAAATTCCTTTTAAAAATTAATTTGTCATCTCTCAAACATCGAAATCATTTAATATTTATTAAAAATAAATATTTATTTTATTTCTGAGAAAATAAGTATTTATTTGAGGAAAATCTCATTCGATAGATCGGATTATGGTATCCAAATTTAGAGTGTTACAATCATTTTTAAAATTTGTTATGTATTTTAATTTTTACTTTGACTTTAATTATTATAACCTCAATTTTCTTTTTCTAGGAAAACCTAACCTTATGCTGCTGTTGTAGTCAGACCCCTTTATCGGAAAAGTCTCGGTGTGATAGTTTAATATACAGTTAAAGAAAAGGCGCTACCAGAAATGTTATTATCTTTGTACATTTTCGGTAATACGCTACCTAAAACATTATTTGTTCTACCGGAATAGTAATATTAGGCGCTACCTAAACATTATTTTTTTACCGAAAATATTAATATTATACGCTATCTAAAATATTATTTTTTTTACCAAAAATTAGTTAAAAAAATTAACATTTCCAGTAAAACAAATAATATTTTAAATATTACTTTACTGAAAATATTAAAAAAATAATAATATTTTCAATAATATTCTTTTTTAACTGTATATTAAACTGTCGTACAATAGAACTAGAGCCTTATCGTCAATTTACATCTCATTCATCCGTCTTTTGCAAATTACACTATCCCGAATCATCGTCAGGATATCATTATCTTCACCATCTTTCCCTAGAAGCCCATCGATGGCTTGTCTCTCTTATTACGTCATTCTGCCCCTGGTGGAACTATATTATATTTAGGGTGAGCAAATATTCATTCCGTTAATTATTAATTTTGTTAATTGTGTATATTCAAACCTACAGGAATGAGTGGGAGCAGTCGCTACATACAATTTTTAAATTTTTATATATTTTAAATATTTTTTTATGTTATTTATTAAAAATATATTTTTATCCTCCTAAATATTATAAGTTCACTCATACATAAAATTTTATAAATGCGTCATCTTAATATAAAATTTTACGTTCGTCCCTGTCAATCCATTCTAATATTTTATATGTCTTCATTTACATATAAAATTTTTATATTATTAATATATATATATATGTCCGCCTTAAAAAATAATTCTAGATTCACTGCCAATATTGAACATCCCCTCCATCTTCATTTAATTATTAAACTGCCTATTCAAAACAAATTTATTGAACTAGTGTTCTTCCATTTTGTCTTCAAGTTTTTCCTTTTTTGTTTGGGTTTAAATTTCTCCAACGAACTGTTTAAAGCAACTAATGAAAAATAATTTAATTTATTAAATATAATATTAATTCAAATATTTCATACGTAATCAATAAATCTAAGTTTAATGTATTCAATATAACATTAATTTAGATATTCTCATATTTCAACCTCTTCCGATAGTAAATTCAAAATATTTAATCGTGTTTCATAACAATGGTAGAGAAAATAGAAATAATATATTATTTTAATTATAAAATATTATTTTAATTAAATTTAAAAATTTTGCATATCAAATTGAATATATAATGTATAAGATAATTATTGCTAAGTAAAGATTATCAAATATTCTCCGGTTAAATTATTATTTCAAATTCTTTATGAGTTTACATTAAATATATTTTTCTTGAATTGTAATGTAATGAATCTTAAATTAATTACTTAATTCTTCTGAAATATCATTTCACCTTATAAGTATCACTTAAGTTTGCATTTTGTATTATTTTATTAGACGGTGATAGTCAATTCTATGGTCATTTTTTTTGCGAGAATTTTGTGCATTTTGCAATTTTAAATAAATTTATGATTTAAAAATAATTATAAGATTATAATTTCAAATATTATTTTTATTATTTTAAAGAATAAATTTTAAGTTTATCTTTAGATTTTCTAACTTATAATTTATTATTTAAAGATTTTAAAAATATATCGAAACAAAATTTTGGTAACAAGTAAGATAAATTTGATATTCTTCACCATCATCATCATCATTATCACCATAACCTAAGAGAATATGAGAGAACAAAAATGAACATTTGACCACCTGCTTGAATGTGTTTGCTCTCTTGTGTTACTTTCTAACTAAAAATCACAAAATTGCATTCAAAAAGAAGCTTGAGATTTAAGAATTAACTTTGTTTTTGCAAACCAAGCGACCTTAGTGGTTAAATGGATGATTGTTATTCCTAGAGGTTTGGGTTTGAGCAAGATATTTATAGGGGTGTTTGAGCGCTCATTGTCAAATGATTGAGAGTCTTTCAAACATATATTATCTTATAATCCTCACAAATTAGTAAAAAAAATAACTTTGTACTAATTAGTAGTTAATATTAGGAGCAAACTTACTATATTAATGGTTAATGTTAAATCCTGTTATTGAATATTAAATGGTTGTCCCTTTTTCCCATATGTATGGGGGTAAGGGGATGTAAGATAGTAGGCTACCCCCAACACCAGGTTGAGAGCAACTTCCGTAAGAGACCTCCGAATTATGAAACTACACAAATAGTCACTAATGTTTGAGTAAATTTTCATTTTCCCTATTGAAATTTTAAAAGTAACAAATTGGTCACTAACGTTTTTGATTTGTACAAAATGGTCACTCCACTATCATCTACATTAAATTGATGATTTGACAATGTTAATAAAAAGGTTAATATTTAATTTTACCGTTAAACTAATGTTAAAACATCAAATAGGTCACCGAATATTATTTTATATCTAATTTATCCCAAAAACATTCTAATTTCTAATTTATCTTAGGTCCAAAAACTACACAAAGATAAGAAAGAAAAGCATCAGAAAACTCAATAATATTTATGCGAATTTTGTCTGATTGTGCATATAATTTGTACATAAATGATAATGGACTGTTTACAACCTCCTCAATTGCTTGTTGGCAGATTGTACATCAATGGAAAGAAGAGGGAAGATCCAGGACAAAACTTTATCAGCTTTGGCTCCTCTGATGAAAGAAATGGTTGGAGAAGGTTGTTTGTTTGACCATTTTCTGAGATGTTATTGGTTTATAATGTTGTATGGCCAATCGTAAGGTTTGAGTAAATTTTCCAAAACAAAAAATGGCTCTCTTTGCTT